CCACTTCCTGGTCCTGCAGTTGCGCCAAGTCGACGAGCACTTTGGCCGCCGGGTGCTCCACTTCCAACAGGCCCAGAATGGTGGCGCCGTCGTTCGTGATGGTCACGTCCTGCGGGAGAGGGCGGGGGTCAGCATATTATGAGGTCAAAGGTCAAATACAAACCCCGATGTCGTCGACCAGCATTTTGTCCAATCCGATCGGTCCGAGCGACGACTTGACCACGTTGGCGATCGCGGCCGCCGCCATCACTAGAGGGAGAGGGAGTGTTAGTGGCCAGAGAACAGTTTCATAGTTTGGTTACCGTTTTGCGTGCGCACAGAGTTTCCCGAGACTCGAGAGCCCGAAACGGAGAGAAGGCTTTGCACTGACATCGCGTTCTTTATAAGGAGTGAGAGAGCGGTCGCGAATGACGTGACGCGAGGGTGGGGTGGCGTGCAGGCAGTGTTCTATGGCAGTGTCGACGCAGGGGTCGGCGTTTGGAATGAAAGCGTAACGCTTGTTGCGAACGCACAGAAGAAGGCATGTTTTGCTGCAGTGGAACGCGAGAGACATCTGTCGCAGAGATTTTGAATTTGAATTTCTTTGAATCAGTTTTCGAATAAAAAGTGAAGAATTGTTTGAATAATTCTAGAATAATTCGAAATTCATTTTTCGAATGATTTCTCAGTTTTGGTATAAAATAGAAAATTGCGTGAAATTAGAATAAAATGCGAGAAAAAGAGGTTTTTGTTGAAAAACGAGAAAAAGAAAGAAAAACGAAACCAAAAAAGAGTAAAATTACAAAACAATAAAAACGAATCGCGAGTTTCAGGAAAAGCGAATTGAAAATTGAAAACCTGTTTTGCGTGACATTGAGAGCGAAACAGCGAAATGTTGAGACATTGTTGTCGTCGCGATATTTGCAGCAAAATCTGCGTTTTCTGTTTCGGACTTTTGGTCGGAATTCTGGTTTCGATTTCCATTTCGAGTTTCTTTCGAACCGAAAGTGAGTTTTTTTTACTCGAGTTTCGAATTCTGAGTTTCGATTCGCTTTCAGACGCAACCAATGCCACTGTTGTCATGACGACCGGCGCTCAGACCGGGGATCACGTGACGGAAGAGACGACCGAAAGGACGACAAGTTTGACGACAAGAATGGAAACAAGTTTCGAAGGAATTGCGGAAAAGCGGAATAAAAACGAAACTTTGGACCGAAAGATGGAAACACTTGTTGTTTCGACAGAAGCGCCGAATTCGGGAAACGAGACGACAATCGGAGCGCAAGAAGAGAACGGAAGAAATGAAACTTTTGATTTGACGACACTTTCTTCTATTCCGTCAGAAATGCTGACCACAAATGACGTCATGAATGACGACACGATAAATGTTTCGAAAAGTTTTCTGAACTGTTCTGCAAATGAGTTCCGGTGTGGGAATGGAAGCGCGTGTGTGTCGCGCGAGCGCCGCTGCGACGGCCTGTGGGACTGCGCGGGCGGAGAGGACGAAGAAGAGTGCGATTCGCGGGTTTGCGGCGAAAGCGAGTTCAAGTGCGAAAATAACAAACAGTGTCTGGAAGGCCGACAGGTGTGCGATTGGGAGCGCGACTGCGACGACGGCAGCGACGAGCGCGACTGCGGTTCGGCATCCATTGTTGTCTTCGCTGTTTGACTCTTCCTTCTCTTTGCAGTGAATCGCGAGAAGTGCGAATCTTTGGGCAAATTCTTCTGCGATTCCGGACTTTGCATTGATTCCAATCTGAAGTGCGATTCCGTCGACGACTGTCTGAACGGCACGGACGAGCGCGCGTGCGACGACGCGTGTTCGGCCTTCCGCTGCGACAACAGCGCGTGCGTCGAGAGGCGACGCGTTTGCGATGACGTCAACGATTGCGGCGACAACAGCGACGAGTTGTCGTGTCGTCAGTGCTGTCGTCTCTCGTGTCGTCTTTTAACCGACTTTTCTTCCCTTTCAGTGAAAAGCGACGAAAAAGGATTCGTGTTTCGGAACCGAAACGACACGTGGTTTCCGCTCTGTGTCGACAACGGCTTCGGCGACGGCGACGCCAACGCCATCTGTCGGCGCTTCGGCAGAGCAGCTGTTCTCAACTTCACGCTCGTGTCGAACGAATCCTGCGTTTCGAACGAATCGTCGGTTTCCGTGTTTTGCCGACACTTCGCGTGCGAGACCGGAGAAAGCGTTCCGAAAGCGCTGCGCGTGAGCGACGGCCGCCACGAGTGTTGGGCGCACGCCGTGGCCGCGCATTGGCTGCTGACGAGCGCGCGCTGTTTGACGTGAGCGCAAAGAGAGATTCTTCTTCTTCTAATTCCAATTCTCTTCTGCAGAACTCTTGGAAACAACGTTTCGGACATTTCTGTGGACAACGCGACGACTGTGGAGCGAATGCACACTCACTTCCGCTTCTCCCACTTCCGCTCCCCACGACTGCCCGACTTTGACTTCGCGTTCCTGCGCGTGCGCGCGCCGCTGCCGCGAGTCACGTGTCTGCCCTCGCATTCCATTGACACGTCGATCACGTGTTTCGCCGCAGAGACGGCGTTCCGAGTGCTGGAGAGCGGCGTCTGCAACGCGAGACAGCACTTCGCGGGCGCGTTGACGCCGCGCCACTTCTGCGCCGAGCGCGCGCGCGGACACTGCGTCGCGATTGGACGGCCGCTGATGTGTCTGTCGTCGGCGAGCGCGTGGTATTTGTCGGGCTTCGCGAACTACGAGTACGGCTGCGGCGGCGCTGGAAGTGGTGGTCACGTGACTCGTCATCCGACGGTGTTTTCGAACGCGTTTTCGATCAAAGCGTTGACCGAAAGAGTCGTCGGTTTCAGAGATTATTTGACTTTCGATTCGAAACTCTTTCAATGAATAAATGTTTTTTGAAAATCAATTAATTATTTGAATCACAAATGAATAAAACTTTGAGCGAAAGGACGACAAGAATGGAAACGAGTTTCGGAAGAATTGCAGAAAATTGGAACAAAAACCAAACTTTGGACCGAAAGATGGAAACACTTGTGGTTTCGACAGAAGCGCCGAATTCGGGAAACGAGACGACAATTGGAAGAAGAGAAGGAATGAAACGAAAAATTCCCGAAAAATGCATAAAAATAGAAACAATTCTTGTTTTTGACGAAAACTGAAACTCTTTTTGTGTTTTTAAACGTTTTTCTATTGGTTTTGACGCAAAATGAAGACAAAGACAGAGAAGAAGAGAACGAAGACTCGGAAGAAGACATTCCTGAAGAAGCAATGATTGATTTGGAATCGCGAGACAAGAATTGAGATTCGATTCACTTTTGAATTAATTTGAGAATTTCGCAAAGTTTTAAACAAAATTAATTTCATATTTATTTGTTTTTAATACAATTTATTACAACTGTTTAAGTTATTAATTCTAATCATTTATAATATTTTGTTTAAAACTCAAATTCTGGAAAAATTACTAAATATTTGTTATTACATATTATATAAAACAAAGTTTCATTAAAAATTCTTAAAATTATAGAAATTCACAAACAATTAACTAATTAATTAACAATTTTATGAAAAAACAAAAATATGCAAATAATTACAAAGTTTTGCATAAAAATTATCACAAAAATGGGCTCAAAATGATAGAAACCAAAAGCCGCCGCCCAATGGTCGCCGCCGTCTTCGGGAACCGTTTGTCTGTCAATTAGTGATTATAAGCGACGGCTTTATCGAAACATTTACTGGACTTTAGCCATAGTTTGGCCAAAATTGCGATACTCTTGACCGCACTTAAGGCAGCAATGGTTTTGCTTATAATAATAATAATGAGTAAATCATAAGATTAATATAGAAAAGATTATAAATTAGATTAATGAGTGTCTTCGAAGTGTGGGAACCGTTTGGTGACAATTATCTGTGACTATATATTGATTCAAAGAAGAATTATATTAAGAGAATGAGTTTCACTTTCTTCAAACGACGTCTCTATCGAAACGCGACTCCAATTCATAGATAATTCGTCTAATAATGAGATTATCGGAGAATGTCTTCAATTGCGGCAAATATTGAAGACAAATGTAGATAAAACCGAAATCAAAGAGAATGGAAACGAGTTTTAGTTTTTTGAAGACAAGATTTCGATTAAAACTTTTCCCAAAATGCAGACAAAACTCCAAACTTTCGTTCAAAAGAATTGAATTCATTTCGCAATCAAACAATTCGTCGCTAATTATGAAACTCTCTCTCTTTCCTCCTCTTCTGTCACCAAATGTCTGATTAGAGATAATAATTGTGGAAAAATGTCGTCTTTTTGCGACAATTGGATTGACTTTAAGTCCATTTCGTTGGAGAGAAGAATGAGAAACGCTTCGAAACTCGTTTCCGATTCTATTCTTGTCTTCCTTTGGATTTCGTTCGAAAGCGAAGAGTAAAACACGTGAAACACTAATTCTCTCTGAGCCACTGATGGCTCCTCAGGGCTGTGATGGTCGCCCTGTTCTTCGACTCGACGAGCAATGAGGACAGGAATTTGCCGAAGAAGTCATAGCCGGCCACTCGCCAAAACCAGTTGACAAAATGGATGGGAATGTATTGTTGTTTCATTTGTTTTGCAAAGATGACCTCATATTCGGGAGCCGTGAGTCCGCGCCTTAGTTCGGGAAAAGGGAAGCTTCCGGTGACCAGATAGTAGAGCGCGACCCCAAGAGCCCACAGATCGGCCTTCAGTGGATTCACCGTTCGCGCGAGTAAAGCCCGATTCAGACTATGGGCGTGGCCTAAAATGGTAAACGAGAAGACAATGACTTGTATTTGATTTGCATTTCTATTGACTTTTGCGACAGATTTGGCAAATGATTGAAACATTGAAACAACAAATCGTAACAAAAGGACAACAAATGTGAGAATCTATGGACAAAAGTCTTACACATGACGTGTTTCGGCGTCCAGTATTGGACAGCAATGAGCGGCTGTTCGTCGCCGCCGTCATTGAGACCATGGGCTCGACTCGTGCCGAAGTCACGCAACTTCAGGCCATCGCCGACAACGACCCAATTGTCGAGTGTGAGGTTGCGATGCGCGACGGGCTCTGGTTGAAGAGTTTGTATGAAATAGAGGCCTTCGACCATATGTCGCGTCCACTTCTTCGCCGTCAACTCATCGAAAGGGCCGACTCTATCGACGAGTTGTTTCAGCGTTTCGTCCGACGATTCAATGATTAGATAGAATTTCTGCAAATGAAACAAAAAGCATGTATTAGTGGGAAATGGCATTCCGTTTGGCGCCGATTGTTGAACGAGAACTTGGCGTCTGAATTGGGTTTTGGGGGGAAATACCTGTTCGAGCAGAATATGGTCCGAAAGGGAGACAATGTTGTCGTGTCTGTGCTCTTCTCTGCGCAAGAAGTCGTACTCAACCCGAAGCTTATCGGCAATCAATTGCTTCGCTTTATTCTTCTTCTGCTTCTTCTCGTCTTCTGTGAGGTTTGTCGCGCTTTTGATTTCATAACGAAAGCCATTCCTCTCGGCTTTATTCTGGGCGACCGATAAATAGTTTCGAAAAACTAAAAATTCTTCAAAAGTTTTGCCTCTGAATACAGACGTGTCTACGCTATTGGACGCCATCTCTAACGACTATTGAGTCAATACTACTCGCAATACTATCGGCGATTCCTCACCTAAAGATAGGAATCCAGAGATTAGCTTTCGATTGAATGCAAACATAACTTACGTCTGAAATTGAAAAGTTTGCTCAAAAGTCCGGAACTCTTCTGTCGGTCGTCTTTGGCGTCCAAGTCGTTGGACGTCGTCTTCGGCGCTGTCGTCGTCGACGACTGTTGCAGAGGAGTGTCGTTGAGTGTCGTCTCGCGAATCGCACTCTCGTTTGTCTCGACCTCTTTGATACAAATCACAAATCAGTTAAGAGTTTGTCTCGAACTCGAAAGGCATTGAAGGCATGGAATTGGAGTTCGAAATGAAGGAGAAGTCGTTTGAAGTGAATGTCGTTTCTGTCGTCAGATAAGGCGTCGAATCGACGACAGAATTATACACATTGTTGACGAGAGGCGGCGGCGGAGGGGCGACGACTTGGCCGTAGAAGTCGAGTCCCGGATTCAATGGGAGAGGCGTTTGCGGTTCACTAACAGGCGCTTCGATGGCCTGAATATCACTGATAACTGTCTTCTTCGGGCGTCGTCTCAAACGACAACTGTTGAGCACTGGTGTGAAGCGACGCGTCGTCGGCGGCGATGAGAGGACGTGAGAGTCTTGTCGTAGACGAGCGTCAGATCGCGAAGTGTTAGAGAGAGTCGGGTCTCGCGTTGAAGTCCATTGTTTTGATACGTAATCAAAGAGAGAGACGTCTGAATGTCTGAGATTGTGGTGAAGAGAAGTCAAACTACACTCAAACACAGCAATTGTTTGCTTTGTCCGCAACAAAGCCGGAGCCGAGCATATGGTCGGGTCCGTCGTACGGCTTCTCAATAGTCTTCGTGAACTTCACTTGAATGACAACACGTGTGGCAACAGATTCGCAGACAACGGAAGGAGTGTTGGAAACACGAGTAAAGGCTTCAAGTGATGGGCGACTGACGAGCGCGCAAATCACACACACATTGAGTGAAGGGTTTCAAAGCGTTTAAACACTGGCATTGAAGGCGACGAAACTCAAAGATGGCGTCCTCTCCTCTGCCTCTCTCTCTCTCTGCAACACATCAATTACGTCGACAGTCGTCTCTCTCTGTGATTACGTGTCAAAACAATGGACTTCAACGCGAGACCCGACTCTCGCGACAACAACCACTTCTACCACTACAACGCCAGCCTCAGTCCTCCGCAGCAGCCGCTGGTCAACAGTAGTAGCGGTGGTCAGCGGTCGCCACTCGAGCCGCAGGCGCAGCTGTGGACGCAGAACGACTATTTGAGTCAATACTACTCGCAATACTATCGCGACTATTATCGCCGTTTCCTCGGCCAACACCAGCTCCACCAACAGGTGGCGCGCGCCACCACCACAACTCTGCGCCCGCCCCTCAAGTACGGCAGCGTGCGGTGCCACTCGCGCGCGCTCTTCTCGCAACACGACAACTCGCTGGTCGTCGTCGACAACAGCCGCAGACGACACGTCGTCGTGTATTCTCTGCGCGATCTGTGCGTCGATTACGTCTACACGAGTCTCTCGCCACTCATCAGAGACGGCGCGGCGGGGCTTCCCGTGACGTCACGCGACGCGTGTCTCCAATGGTTGCGCAGTTTCGGTGAATTCGCGCCGAATTTCGAGTTGAAGCTCGTGACGAAAGTGATGGAAATGTGTTTAAAGCAGAACCGCGTGGAAGGCCACGACCTCGCAGAGCTGCTGTTGCCGCACGTGCTCAGCAGCGAACGCCTCGAACAGCAGTTCCCCGCGGAGACCGCCAGTAGGAACGCCTTCCGCGCGCTCCTCCTTCGCGGACAGCGCGCGCTCGCTCTGAGCCACGCGATGGACGCCAACAACGGACTCATGGATCACGCGCTCGCACTCTCATACCTGTTGACGACGCGCGACGACATTCGGCGCCGAAAGACGACAACAATCAACGAATTAATGATGAAAACCGTGAAGAAGTTCTGCGAAACGCTTCACCCGAAAGATCCGCGTGAGTCGCGCGTCATTGTTGTCTTTGAATCACTTCTGAATGTCTCTCTCTTTTAGTTCACGTGTTTTATTCTTCGCTTTCGAACGAAATCCAAAGGAAGACGAGAATAGAATCGGAAACGAGTTTCGAAGCGTTTCTCATTCTTCTCTCCAACGAAATGGACTTAAAGTCAATTCATTTGTCGCAAAACGACGACATTTTTCCGCAATTATTATCTCTAATCAGACATTTGGTGAATCGAGAGGAAGAAAGAGAGAGTTTCATAATTAGCGACGAATTATTCGATTCGGAAATGAATTCAATTCTTTTGAACGAAAGTTTGGAGTTTTGTCTGCATTTTGGAAACAGTTTTAATCGAAAACTTGTGTTAAAAAAAGTGAAACTCATTTCAATTCTCTTTGATTTCGGATTTACAGACATTTGTCTTCAATATTTGCCGCAATTGAAGACATTCTCCGATAATCTCATTATTAGACGAATTATCTATGAATTGGAATCGCGTTTCGATAGAGACGTCGTCCCATTGGACGCAGAGTTGACGACACATGACGTCCACGACGTCTTCACCGACGACGCGTCGCTTCACATCAGTGCTCAACAGTTGTCGTTCGAGACGACGCCCGAAGAAGAAAGTCCTTCAGAACAAACCCGTGATATTCAGGCCACAGAAGCGCCTATTAGTGAACCGCAAACTCTTCTCCCATTGAATCCCGGACTCGACTTCTACGGCCAAGTCGTCGCCCCTCCGCCGCCGCCTCTCGTCAACAATGTGTATAATTCTGTCGTCGATTCGACGCCTTCTTTGACGACAGAAACGACATTCAATGCGAACGACTTCTCCTTCATTTCGAACTCCAATTCTATGCCTTCAATGCCTTTCGAGTTCGAGGCAAACGAGAGTGCGATTCGCGAGACGACATTCAACGACACTCCTCTGCAACAGTCGTCGACGACGACAGCGGCGAAGACGACGAACACGACGTCCAACGACTTGGACGCCAAAGACGACCGACAGAAGGGTTCCGGACTTTTGAGCAAACTTTTTAATTTCAGACGTAAGTTATGTTTGCATTCAATCGAAAGCTAATCTCTCGCTCTTCAGCCAAAAATCAGGCCATTCTTCCCGACGACTCGCACCCGACGCTCGTCTACGACAAGAATCTCCAGCAATGGGTCGACACGAGCGCCGCGGCGCCCAACGCGGCGGCCCCGCCCCCGATGGCGGCGCCCCCCGTGACGGCGATGGGCAGCGCGCCTCCTCTGAGCCGGAAATTCGAATTCAATCGCAATTCAAAGCGTTATTTAGATGTCACGAGAATTCAGTGAAATTCAGTTTTTATTTTCGCATTCAAAGAGAGTTTCGAAAACGACTTTCGACGACAACAAGACGTCCGCGTCGTCGCTCATCGCGTCCACCAATTGTCGCGCTCTGCGAACCCTTTCCTCGTAATCTTCTAATTGTTGGGCGAATAGAAAGTGAATAAAAATGGCGACAATTAAGCAAATCTCGC